GGTTGGCGAGCGAATATCTTCATCTTAGCCTTTGTTTTACATTTTCTTTGACGCTTTTCTCTACTCAACGTGAATAGTCACAAAAAGATATATGAATTATAACAAGAAACTGCTGTTTTTGAACTTTAAGTGCTTGTAAATTTGTCTGAATCTAAGTCTAAACCTGCACTAAGGGTCCAAATGGTGTACTACCACCCATTTTCTTTCTATTATAAAATAGACTTTCATATTGAAACTTATTAAAAACTCGTGTGCAGCTTACATATATTTTATATAGCTTTAGGAGTTACGTAACTCATCAATTATGTTTATCGTCGAAAATCAAGATTTATCATTAGATCACTCTAAATTATTATGGAGGCCTACCCTGATTTTCATTAATTTCAACTTGACTATATAATCTTACCACAATCTTTAGAAGACACTTGTAAATAAAATAAAAATAACTAAGTTATATGAAGTATTATCATTTGCCTATAAAGAGAGATACGAGATTAAATTATATGCAAAAGTGAATTTGTTAATACTCTATAAATTTTTTTACCTTTCTGTTCGTCAATATGAAAATGAGAATTGAAAACGGTATGACTTGTGAGTTTTAATAAATGTGCTTAAGTAGAGAAAAAAGTCATTGGCAACAAATTTGAACTGACGTACATACATCTGTATGTAAAAGGAAACCGTCACTGACTGATCTATCAACGCATAGCTGCTCAAACCGGAATTGGATCGGATGGCTTGGTTTGAAATTTGGCACACAGATAATTATTATGACATAGGCAACGGATTTTTGAAAATTCAACCCTTAAAAGGGTGAAACGGGGGCTCAAAATTTGTATATTTCAGAGGGTTAATAGTCTAAAACTCAAATTTAAAGCCGCGGGCAAAGTGTAGCCTGATATAAAATATACATATAAGAGACTCCTTCGTGCCTTCGTTGCAATGCAATTTCTAGGTACTATCCCACGTTTTACTCTTATATTACGCTAAGCTCTTTGATAATAATCCATACTAATATAATTTTAAAATTAATATTATGAATTTGAATATCAATCCTTCTAAAGAGATGGTTTTAAGCTGAATTGATATATGCATACTTTGAATCCCGATACTATATTATTTGATTGAAAATTGTGACTTATGAGTATGTGCTTGTGTGAATAGAAGGCGAGTCACTAGTTAACAATGAATTCCATCACAGCTATTCCAACAATCCTCTCAATTCAAGCTCTCATGTCAATAGTATTATATTACAGAGGCTACATGCTGAGTGGATTTCTAATATGAATATTACTGATATCACTGTTTAGTTCGAGCTAATATAATATACATCGTTTATACTGATATATCAATAAATATTTTAATTAAATAAATATGTTAGGACATTAACACACAGCACCATCTAGTTCCATGGTAAGCTACGAGGCTTGTGTTCGTGTGGATCCAAATAGGTGATACACTACACATATATAAAATACATACGAAACATATTATAAATATAAACACCTATGACTGGAGTACAAACATTCGTGCTTATCACACAAATGAATGCCCCCAGCGGGACTTGGATCCGGGACCGTTAGCACAGCAAGTATGATCACTACAAACTGTGTCAAACGTGTAGTCAAAACCGTCAAAACCGATGTCTTTGAGGTTATATTTTAATGTATTTAATTGCTAGCCACTCTTCTTCACTCGAGTTCGTCCTAGGTACCTACCTAACAGTAATTTATGTACTATTCCATAGATTAGTTATCCGTCAAGTACTTTCAGCGTGAAGGACTAACAAACACACACATATATACACAAACAAACATTCACATTTATAGCAGTAGCCCGCTAAAAGTTGTGAAATTAAAAGGCTTAAATGAAAGTAGTGCAGTTCATATAAAAAGTATGTTATGTAATAAAAGGTATAGATAGGTATATGCGAGATACTATGTCATAAAAGTTGTATAAAAGAAGATAATTTATCGAAGAATGCACGTGTCAACCGGAAATTTCACCTGCCTCATAAAATACGTCTTTCCCCATTTCCATCGTAGTTACTAGAAACATTTTGTGCAATTTTGCTTCATAGCTACACTGAAAGTACTAGATGAGAGAAATATTTTAATTTCGAAATTCGATGCAGTCACAAAAATAGCTGACTTGATTTTTATAGTTTAATTTCTTATAAAAATCAACTCGCACAGAACACTCTTTGTCTTCCAATAATTTAACAAATAGCATAAATTATTTTTTTAGGAATTTATCTAACAATAAAATAAATTAAAGATTGGATCGTTCTTACGTCGCCTAAATTGAAGCGATGCCTATCGGAATGGTATTGAATAACGATATCGGAATAAGCATAAGTTTGCACAACAATATGATTGTTTTGTTTTGAGTCTACCTAAGTCCTTGTCGATACTAATATTATATGTAAAGAGAAAATATTTGTATTTTGTTTGTTTGTACTGAATAGGCTCCGAAACTACTAAACCGATTTATATGAAATTTAGTAAGAATATAGTTTGAGCACCTCGAAATGACATAGGATAGTTTTATCCCAGAAATCATCCCTTAAGGGAGTGAAAATAGGGATGAAAGTTTATCGCTAGTTAATAATAATCGTCTTAAAAAAGCGTAAAAAAACGAACAATATTTTAATAATAATAATTTTCTACATACACAAAAAATTACAAAAATGCCACATTTATCACAATTCGCGTAAAAATTAATATTATTTAGGTCCGAAAATTTTATAATTCATTTTTGCTTGCGAACAATAGAAAATTTAAGCTTTACAAAACGGAGCTATAAAATTTAAATGTACTGGAATGTAAATTGATGTTCCTTAAATGCTAGCAGGATTAAAAAATCTAAAAGCGGTTGGCGCAGGATGATAAAGAAGTCATTGCAGTCGGGGAGGGCCCCGAAGGATAAAAACTACCGCGCAACCCCAGAGTTAACACAAAACGAAGTCCGCTTAATAATTTCACGCCAACTCATTTAATTTGCATTGCCATAATAAAATTGCATTACGAATAAATAATTTGAATATTATTTCAAATTGTAGTCGACGGAGAGAGTACTTTGGCTTTTACTAATCCCATTATTACAAAACTTTTTATTACTATTTTAAGCTGTGAATATTCCCTTTTTACTCCCGATGTAAAAGAGGGATGCTATAAGTTTAACTTGTGTATCTGTGTCTCGTGTCTGTCGCTTCGTGGCGCCCAAACGGATGAACCGATTTTAATTTAGTTTTTTTTTTGTTTGAAAGTTGACTAATTGAAAGTGTTATAAGCTATAAATCGGCCAATCAGAAATCAAAAAAATCTTGATTTATAGCTAAGAATTTTCTTGATTTACATCTAAAAATGACGTTTGGCTAAGCTATCAGCTATTGTCTAGACAGTAAAAGGATATGAGCAACTGCCACAGACCTAATCAAAAGATAAGGTAACCTTGGCCTAATCCTGCACCGTCATCTGAAATCTGCAAGATACTTAATTTTTTACTAAAATACTGCAGAGGTATCATGCTTAGGCTCAATAAAATGGCTTCAAAGAATTTAGGCTATGGTGTTGGATTTTCCATTTTTTTTTTTTGTTTACTTATTTAATTTAATCTCAAAACTGATAATATATATTATTTTATAGCAAAAACTATTATAATATAAGTGTTAAAGTATAAAATCTTGTTGACCATGCGTCATAAATAAATAGTAATATATTCAGCCCTTTTTAACGTCCCACTGCTGGGCACGGGCCTCTCTCCCTTCAGTACGAGGGGAATCAGGCCATAGTCCACCACGCTGGCCAAGTGCGGGTTGGTGGACTGCACATGTCTTTTAAAAATTTACTAGCTTCTCTCAGACATGCAGGTTTCCTCACGATGTTTTCCTTTACCGTTAAGACAAGTAGTAATCATGTTGGAAATGATTCGCACATGATAATATCAGAGGTGCGAGACCCGGGATTTGAACTCGTTTCACGCGGTTTTCCAAGCGAGCACGTCACCACTGAGCTACCACTGCCTTAATTAAACAAATAACAAGTAATAATTCTCAAAAAAGTAAGAGAGAAAAAATAAGAATAAATGTAAATACAGTATTAAATATAGAAAAAAATATAAAAAAATGAAATTATTAAAAAATATTTATTATTTTACAATATTTCATTACCTAACGAAATCGCTAGAAATATATATTTTATTCCTATAAAAGTTTCACTAGCAATAAGATTTTAAATATCTTCTGCACATGATTTCTGTTGTATGAACGTCTATGTATGATTCATGAAGTCTAGATGCAAATTATAACCTACGTATATTTAAGTCACGTAGAAGCATCTATTCTTTTTCAGGTCAGTGGCAACGTTAAAGAATGTAAAGTATACAAGCAAGTTATGAATAAAATGTCGCTTTTTAACATGACTCATAATGAGTTTCAGTGTGTTTAATAAACATACACGTACAATATAAAAACAAATACAAACTTTCGCATTTATAATAGGCCAGCTTATATTTTACGTTATGCTACATTTTTACTTTACAATTACATTTCTAAACATAAACTGCAGCATCACATTCGTATGTTAGAGAGAAATTTGGGTAGAATTGACTATAATTAAATTAATTATTAATTAAAATTAATAATTAAAAAAAATCTGTGGGCCATCTCAAAATGTTGAGTAAAAAAAGTTATTCTTTTTATAAGCTACAAATTCTACCCTCAAACTAAGAAAAAAAAAGTTTTTTTCGCTCCACCCTACTAGTTATACATAAAATACAAATTATATAATTATTCGAAATACGTTAGAACAATTAATTGTTAGAACATTTATGTGTCTTTAAATATTTAATTTAATAAGTTAATTTTTCAGTATTTTATTTACGTAATTTTCACGTCTAGTACTAACATCAATATAGTATAATGCTGCAGGCTAGTTCAATTACAAAATTCATCATTTTTCAACGTTTTAATTAGGTCAAGCAGAAGTTGATTTACTCACTTGGATTAACCGCCTGTCCCTCATCGACTACGTGCATTGATAAATGAAGCAAAACCAGCAATATCGCCGATAACTGGAACAAACATAAATATTTTATTAGAAAATATGTAAATGTATAGCTTACGTCGATTCTGTATATATCGGTTCAATATAAGATTTTGTAGTAATCAGTGATATTTTCTTGCTTTGTTCAGCCTTAACTTACCTCTCTTAGTAGCTGTATTAAATAATTTTATAAACGTTCTTAGGTTTATACCTAATTTCTTATGTAAACAATAAAACTCAAAATTCAAAATTCCGGTAAAATCAGTTCTAAAGATTATTTAGTACAAACAGACAGACAGACAGGCAAGATATTTTTGCTTGATGGTTATTCAGTCTTCACTTCCGTACCATTTGGAATTTACAAACAGACACTTTAATTTTATTTATACGTAGATATAGATTGTAAGTTCCTATTTCTTAATTAAGCACTATTGGATACATCAAATACAGTTAAATTATTAAATATGGCTTCATTATAAAAGGCATAATAGAAATTGTAACCTTTTATATGAAACAAAAACCAAATTGAATTGTAACAATACACAAACAAAGGCGCAAAAATAAAAATGTCGGAATTGCCATGTTATATACACTACAATAAAAGCTAAAGTTATGGTTAACGAACTATATCTATTTGTAGTGGCATTTTCAGACGACAGAGATTTTTAGCGTTTGTATGTATGTAATTTTATCAAAATCATTTACATGTTTAATAGTAAACTCATGACGTTCAGTAAAAAATTGTAATAATTTAAAGCTGAATAAATTTTGATTTGATTTGATTTGAATATTTTGCTATATTTTTGACCGAATTCAAAAAGAACGAAGTACGTAATTTAACCTTTTTGTGTGGCTGTGTGTATGTGTGTGTGTATGTGCGTATGTGAGTGTGCGTGCGTACTTGCGTATTTGTTTGTGTGCGTGCGTATGCGTGCATGTGCGTATGCGTGTGCTTGCGTTTGTGTGCAAGCGTACGTGCGTGTAGCTAATTCTAAATCTATTTACAAGGAAGGAATGCTCCGTCAATCTAGCCAGACGTGAAGCCGAAAAATTTACTTTGGAGGCAGACGGGTTGCGGGTGGCTCATATTTAAAACGATATATATATATATATATATATATATATATATATATATATATATATATATATATATATATTAAAAACGATTTTTACGTATGTATATAAACAAGGAGGTCAAATACATAATCCTCGGGTTTTCGGGTTGGCCACAGTCGGGTAAAAATATAATAATCAGACTCAATAAAATCGTTCACAAAGCTTTCTTGACACATATCCATTTACTTATATGAGGGTAAGTTCTAGATATTCTTTTCGAATTGACTGAACTTTTCCCATATCATAAAGACTTCAAGTGTAGACAACATGACATGAGTGAAACCTATCTAGTCAGTTATGTAAGAATTCATACAGTTCGCGTGCCTTGTGAGCAATTTGTTCTAATTTTAGATGTCTAGACGTTCAACTTTTTGATATTTCTTTGCTAAAACTTTAGAAACTTAGTATAAGTTATTATCGAGCTTTAAGCTATTTAGAATTTAATATCTTCGCTGAAAACTTAATAATACCATAGCTATACCTGAATATTTCGAGCGTTAAAGTTATATTTAAAATGCATATCGTGCTCAACGTTGAAGGTAAATATGAGAAAAGCGTATTTTGGAAGAAATTCTAAAACGTCAGACCTGCCAAGCCGCAATTGGAGCATTACAGCACTATGTTATATGAGTATATCTTTCTCCTTATAAAGTGCAGGTGGATTGTAACGTACATTAACTAGCTCTAAATTAACAGTATATTTTTTTAAATGTTAAATTTATTAACAAATGAACTTATTGCATTTGTGATTATTATTAATTTTTATTCTCTTATAGCCGAAATCTGTTAAAATATGTAACTTCAAAACTAACAAATATAATTTAGTCGTATTTATGATATTATACCACGGTTTGATTACTTTATAAGCATTATAGAAATTAGTTTTTTTTTTGTTTTTCAGGTATCTTTTTAAAAATAAAGTAAAGTAAAAATGTAGTTGCAAATATATTCACCAAATAAATAACAAAAACGTATAGTATTTTTAACATATTATGAATCTCGAGAATATTTAAAATGCCCTGCAATGTTTTTGTGCATGTGGACTTTTAAAGAAATTCCTCTTAAATCTCTAAGCTTTTACGTTTCTTTTTACTAAAAGAATACATATAGGACAGATTTTAACATAAAAGAGATCGCTAAAGGAAACTGGTAGAAAACAAAGATTAGCCGAATAACTTTAAAAAGGACAAAATATATTTTATTAAAAAAAAAATTCTATATCCTATTTATTAAGTATTGTAGTTCAGAAGATTTTATAAATTAGAACACTGGTTCACTGTATTGTGATACCGGTATAATAACAAAAGTCAATACTTTTAATATAAAATTTTTTCGACCACTGTTGACAGTTGAGACAAACTATTTATTAAAACAACATTATCATGAAAATCAGTTCTCGATTGACAAAAATAATATTTAACATACACATTATACACAAAAAGAACAAAATATACATAATTTAAATACTTTCCAATTTTTTTAAGTGCGTCTAATTTGCAAATTGTTTGAAATCTTAATAAATTAGTTATACAAAATTAAAATTACTTTTATATTTTTTTAATTACTATTATATTTCGTTAAGTAACAACGCAGACACAAATAATGCCTAAGTTCGTGCACATAAAGATTAGCAAACGAATAAATTACAGGTCAAGAGCGATGGAAACTCAGAGCGCATTAAGTATCTCGAAATGGATACATTTTATCTCGGTCGTTTCTACCCGTAGTTTTAAGTAAACAACAGAGATCTGTGGCTAGAGAGCAGTTGAAATAGTAAGAGGTAAATTTAATTTGCTGTAGCAAGCTATGGATGTTATATTTGTGATAAGTTGTTGTTTGTGATAAAAAATATGAGAATTTAAAATCTATGAGATATGAGATACAAAATATGAGATAGATTTAAAATTTTGCAATTACTTTTTTTCTTTAATGTATCATTTTTGTACTTATAGTCTTAATTTGACGTAACTTACAGGCATAGAAATAGCTGAAAAGTCTATCATTGTGAAAAAGAAAATTAAAAACATCCATACTCATATTATAAATGTGAAAGTGTGTTTGTGTGTTTGTCCTACTTTCACGTCAACACAGAGTGACGGATTGGCGTGGTTTTTTGTGGAGATAGTTGGAAGGCTGGAGAGTGCATAAGCTTCTTTTTACTGCGGGAGATTATCTCATTCCCACGAGAAGACACGTTATAGTAAAACCTAAAAAGATATTTATGATCAGAATTACTTGAAACTTGGCATTAATGCTCTTCAATATAATTAAATAAGTAAATACGTGTTTTTTCATTTTTCATTTTTTTTTTGTGTATGAATGTTGTATGTTTTTAGAGTTTTTTTATGTAGTTTTAGCGCAAGCGGTTCTGCTAGTTATAATATAATTTGAAGTGATTCTCGGGCGTATAAATTAAGAAAAAAAACACATATTAAAATAGATAAAATCTGCAAATTATTATAAAAAATATTCAATAGCCTGAATAAAATATATAAAATAATAAAGTGCAGTCACGCGGTAACGATATCAAATATCTCTGACCATCGGCACTTGCTTATCCACAGCCGCACTATTTCCGCAAATTGATAGCAAAAGAACTCGTCCATTTGTTAAAGCGAACTTTAAAGCCTTATAAAAGAGACCTTAACGGAAAAAAGTTTTAATTTGGTTTTTTAAATTTTTCTGTTCAGCTCACTTTGTTTATCAACTTACTAAGTTTTACTTCTATTAGATACTAAATTAAATATAGATTTCATGAAAAAATATAAACTAGTAATAATATATTTCTATTTGTAAACAAAGCTATATTTACTTTTCGTTATATTACTTTTCGTTTAGGGATTCGTAGTCAAAAGGCTAAAACGGCTAAACGCCTTATAATTTTGTCATTAGTCCGTCTGTCGAATGTTCGTCTGTTCGTATGTTACAAATGCTTTACGCGAATTCTATAATTCATACATATATACCAGTTTTAGTCAAATTGCAAAAAATAAGTTTGAGGTGACTTTTTTTAAGTCTGATTAAGCATATTTCTTGTTAAGTCGGTAAAATTTAAATAGATGTCTTAAAGTATTTTTTTTGTTAAAGCCAGTAGAAGTTGCAGGCAGTAGTTATATCCTTCTAACAAACAAAACATTATGCCCACCTTTTAAAATTTATATAAGAGCATCCTTGTTATGTATTAACTAAAAAAATACAAAAAAACGTACAGATCATTTACGTACTTCCTCCTCTTTTGAAATCGGTCAAAAGTAAACGGTATTACTCAGGAATCGTGTAGATTTCTATACAGCTCAGCCATCCAGAATACCTCCACATACAAAAAAAATAATCCTCTGCATAGTAGGGTAAGCTATCAAAATTTATTTGCAACTAGCAATGCCCGCGGCTCCGCGCGCGTTCAGATGACCAAAAACAAAATTCTTAGGTTTTAGAGATTAGTATACGCTTACATTGCAGTTTTTGCATTTTTTCTCAGAAGTTAGATATTTTCCTGCGGTTAAAAGTATCCTATATGTTGACCCAGATAACCAGCTATCATCATACAAAATTTCATCAAAATCTATCCAGTGGTTTTCCTGTGATGCGGTAACAGACAGACAGACGGACAAAAATTTTAAAACCTATAGATTCGGCCTCTGTTTCGATAATAAAGTCTATTTCAATAAGATTTTCCAAAAAATATTTAATGTACCGATTCGGCTTAGTTACAATTTTATTATATGTATAGATTAGCAGATAAACAAAGATGTTCTCATCTCCTTGCGGGATATAATAGAGGGGAGGCAATATTATATTTGGAAATGCTCTGTATCTAATTTTTTATAGATTAATATTTCATACCCAAGTTATAACTCATTAAGGAAACCACTTACGAAATAACATCGTGATATTATCGTAAACTTGAACAAA